GAAGTCTCTCCTGATTGAACTGTCTGGACCCCATCCTCAACTTTTTTTCAAACCATAAAATGCCTTCATAGGGCTTTCCTGTTGATAATGTTTGGTGGATTTTTTAATATAATAATAGCAATCAATATTATATATATATTACCTTTTAATCTATATAAATTGTATTTACATGTTGTCACTATTTTTTCCACCTAGTTCTACTATGCCAGCCATCAGAGGTATACATGTGTTAACATCTCTTTTAGGTTTCATTTTTTATTTTTGTGAATTTCTATATAAAATGCTGATTTCTACCTGAAATGCTTATGTATTTTAATTACATTTTCATCGAGCTTTGACTTATCGGCTGAATAAATATTATAACTCTACATGGTTTTGTTCAGCATTGCTAGCTTCACTGTTGAGCTTTATGTTGTGCCCAGCATTCTCCTGTGCTCTGAAATCAAAATGTGGATAAGCATAAAACAACACTAAAATAAACACTACAATACAACTTGTTATTTGACACACAAGATTGTTCATTTGTGTGTATAAATATACAACACAGGCTATATAGATATATACATATACAAGTATAATTAATACAACTGTTAATTGTATTAGAGCTTTGACACATATATCTTTATTTATATAGGCCTATGTATTGACGACTTCCTCGGGCGATATCATATGGTATAGCTAATTAATCTGGGTCAAAACGTGTTATGCAAAGGTTGTAAACTCTGGCTTATCCCTGCGTGGTATTATAGTAATAGCAAACAGCAACGTTCAACCGAGGAGAGAGGAGGGGAAGCAGCAGGCGGTTAGAGAAATGAGAACTCCTCTCCTCTGAGCGATGAAAGCAGTTAATAAAATAATATCCAGGGGATGCATGCAGAGCTGTCATTGGCTGAGATAAGTCCGGCCGTGCGTCACGACTCTTTGAAACATCTCTGTTCCCGGAAATGCATCCACGAAGGAGCCGTGGAGGACCGTGGAGGACCCATCAGTGTATCCTCGGTTATAGCTCCTCCAGAGAGCCTCCTCGATGCTCGATGCTCGGTCCTTGAAGTGTATTTAGAGAAATGAGATGTCCTTCAACATGGCGCGCTGAAATTGATTGAGGAGGGGAAATTAGAGTATTGAGAAACCTCTATGGAGAGTGAATGTTGACAATGTCGTGTGATCATTTTAGCCTCCTCTTCTGCATGTCCAGATCGTTAATAGTAACAATCAACTGATTCTTATTACATTACATTACATTGCATTTAGCTGACGCTTTTATCCAAAGCGACTTACAATAAGTGCGTTCGACCAACAAAACACAAACTTGAAGAAAACAGAATCATATAAGTACATCAGGTTTCATAGAGCAAAAACATTTCAAGTGCTACTCAACTGGCTTTAGATAAGCCAGTCCTTTATAAGTGCTTTGTTAATAGTTATATTGCTCGAAGTGGAGTCGAAAGAGATGAGTTTTCAGTCTGCGCCGGAAGGTGTATAAGCTTTCTGCTGTCCTGATGTCAATGGGGAGCTCATTCCACCATTTTGGAGCCAGGATAGCAAACCCACGTGTTTTTGCTGATGGGAACTTGGGTCCCCCTCGCAGTGAGGGTGCAGCGAGCTGTTTGGCTGATGCAGAGCGAAGTGCACGTGCTGGGGTGTACGGTTTAACCATGTCCTGGATGTAGGAAGGGCCAGATCCATTCACAGCATGGTACGCAAGTACCATTGTCTTGAAGTGGATTCTAGCAGTTACCGGAAGCCAGTGAAGGGAGCGGAGGAGCGGCGTGGTGTGGGAACATTTAGGAAAGTTGAAGACCAGACGAGCAGCTGCATTCTGGATGAGCTGCAGAGGTCGGATGGCACATGCAGGTAGACCAGCCAGGAGGGAGTTGCAGTAGTCTAGGCGTGAGATGACGAAAGCCTGGACCAGAACCTGCGTCGCTTTCTGGGTCAGCTGGGGACGTATCCTCCTGATGTTGTAAAGCGTGTATCTGCAGCAGCGGGTTGTAGCAGCTATGTTTGCAGTGAAGGACAGGTTGTTATCTAGGATCACACCCAGATTCCTTGCAGTCTGAGTCGGGGAAACAATATAGGTGGCGATGTTGATTGTCAGGTCAAGAGTGGGACAATATTTTCCCGGAAGGAAAAGCAGTTCAGTCTTGTCAGAGATTATGTATGTTATGTATTACACTTTCAAAAATAATTTATGCTGACATTGTCAGCCCACTGACATGGTTTGAAATCAATATATTATCCAATTTGTGAACCCCCACAGGACTTAAAAAGCACCTCACTAGATCATGAAAATCCCCCAAATCTCGGGGGGTATCCCCCGAACCCCCCTAGCATGTTTGGACCTCGGTATTTAGGAAATCCTGGATACGGCCCTGACCGGAAGCTGTGTGGTTAATAAAAACATATTCTTTATGTGAGGGATTAATTTTGTCTTTACTTAAGATATTTGACCTTTCGGCCTGTTGACGTTTACGACGAAGCCGAAGTCTGTTATCTGTCTTAAGGAATGGGAAGTTTCACCTATTGCTGACATTATGAGTTTTGTGACCGGTCAACTCTCGGTCACAATAGCCATAAAGTCAAATAAGTGATTTAGTGCCTCCAGGTGGTCACGTACACCTTCCCCATAGGTGGGTTGACTCTGAGTGAAGCTAATTAAAAGGTCTGCCAAGATGAGAAGGGATTCAGAATTGACATGACAACCCACCCGTGCAGTCAGAACTTTCTGCTGCTGTGACTTGTGATATGAATTCTCCGGCCGATGCTTGTAATAAACTGCCAGTGTTTGACATCAGAACTCCTGCTCGTCCCGTGTCTCTCTGAGTCCTGACTCTCCATTACTACAGAAGTTTCCCTTACACTTTATATATACAGTCTATGGTTCTTACTCAATATCAAGCCACGATTATTGTTTTTACTTTTTTTGCCGTCCGTGAGGAAAATAAATGGGGCTCAGAGCCTCAGAATACTGAGGCTTCAATTTATCTTCACACAATACGTCTCCTTGCAGTATCAATAGTAATTTGGCTGACTTTTATATTTGATCCAATTGGTAGACAGGTTATATTTACACCATAACGGTGCACAGCTGATATACAAGGACTTGTAGTTTTTAAAGATATTACTGATTTTCTTTGAATATAAGAATGTAAATACTGAGTCTGAAATAGTATAGCAATATGCTGTAAAATTATGTGAAAGCATGAATAAAACCACACATCTTCAGATGTTGTACATACATAAGTGTCCTACACTAATAATACAATGTTATTATGGCTGTGTGTACCTTGTGTGCACCGCCTAGTGGTTAAAGCACGTTATTGAATTATTGTTTTTATGTGTTATATTTGATTAAAAAAATATTAAGAGTACATACTTTCATAGGGGGAAAGAAGAAGGTCAATGATAGAAATATAGAATATAAAAAATCAAGAAGATACTATAAGTGATCTCTACAATAAAACAGTTTAGAGCTGGATGTACAAAGATATTAATAGGATGAGGTGCAAAACAGAAAAACGAATTAACCTTTAGTTAAACATTAAATAATACTTTAGATTAAGGTCTTCTTTTAAATAAGAAAAAAGCTTTGGGGTATCTACAGATAAATATTAAGCCTGACAAAGTACTTAACGTCTAATATATTGCTTTCCTGCAATGTTAACTATGTTGAAGCACTTATTTTAACTGATATTATTGATTATACTCTTATGTATGTAGATAGTATAAGAAATGTGCAGAATATGACAGTTTAATGGTGGAGGTATACACACATATTGATAGATGTCTTGTAATGCACTGTTGAGGAACCTCAGCTGCGACCAAAGTTTTTCATTCATTGCATAACTACACCGTAGTTGTGTATATGATGTCAATAAACCTTAGACAATCTTGAAATGGATGTGCAAAATAGCCATTATACAGCCATTATAAATAGCCATTATATAGTCTTTAATGAACGATTAGAGAATAACGAGTAATTACTATACTTTATAGAGATCTGCAGATACATGTTTAGTCTTCTCAAGCACCAACTATCAAATATCTCTCCTGATTGTTGGCACTTGACAATGACCTTCCCTGAATTTTACTCAGGTGTAACTAAAGTCTGATTTAAGGGTTGTTTATATTTCAAATATAACTCAAATAAATGTAGTGGAGTAAAAATACCAGGTTAACCTCTGAATTGTAGTGGAGTAGAATTACAAAGTAACAATGAGCTGTCATGTCACGTCAAAGCTAATAGCGGACATTACAGATAGTATCCATAAACAGACCTCAACACTTGAGATTCTTTGAATGTGTTGTGAATTAAAAATATCTGTACATTTGACAATTTTAGATAAAGTTGGTGGGCATGCAGCCAAAAGCACAACAATGTGAACCTGATAGTGTCAGCTAGCATCTTAGCCAAGGCTTGCACTGTGTTTCCAACTCAACTTCCACAACAGCTCCACACTTAAACCGCCAGTAGTAGCTCAATGTTTGCTTTAAACAACAAATCCACAATAAAGTGTACTTACAGGTTGTGACCCTAAATCGGCATAATAGCCGCATCACAATTGTAACTACTCCGACTTTCATCAGTAACTGTGAATTGAGCAGGAGGCTTGAAGGAATCCTGTTATTACACATTGGCTTCTCACATGTAGGGGCGATTATTGCAAATTCTTATTTGTTGAGAGACTATTCACTTTTATTCATTGTATAATGGTATAATCTATAATGCTTTAAACTTATTGTTTAGGTAATTTGCTTTTTCTGGGACTAGCATCGCTAAATGGAAAGCTAACACGCTAACCTTGCTAAATAATTGTGTATGAATGTGTACACAGTTAATGGGGTTTTAGGTGTGTTACTATAACAAAGCTTACTCTATTTATCTGAAGAATGGAGAATTTGTTCAAAGTCCTTTGAATATATTTAGGAAATGCTGACTTATGATTGAATTACCTGTACCAGGTGAGTGGTCATCAGAAATTACAATCACAGTGAGTGAATATGTGTGAAAATACTTTATTAAAAAAACTTAAATGTAGCTCTTTACAGGAATCAATAACTTAAAATAGAATAATTGTTCAATTACATAAAACACAGTCTGACCAATAAAAGCCTCAGTACTTCCAGTTAATTACAGCTCTACTGCCTCTCAGCATCTCCCTCTTTTGTAGAGGTCAAAGGTGGAGCTGGCGGAGCAAGTCGAGGGGCGGGACTTGTAGTTGACGGGCGGCTCCTCTTGTTGGACAGGCTTCTGTCGGATGTGGTCAGAGGTCATGAAGAGGTGAAGGGAAGGCCCTTCTGCTGCCCTGTTGCCAGTACAGGGGGACTGCAGCACCCTGTGAGGCAGCACCTGGCTGATCAGCTGATCCTCCTGCACCTCCACACAGACCAATGAGGTGAAGAGACGCTGAGAGCGGGACACATTCACTTCTACAGACACAGGAAGAGACAGAAGACACTTAACAAGGTTTTGAAATCCAAATGTATAAAGAGCTTTTTAGAGGGGATTACTAGCAGGATTACAATGTTAGTAAAAACTCTAAAGATCATATAGTGATAGTACTTATTTGATTTGAGGCTTGATATTAAGGTAATCAAGGAAGTCATCAGGTTACTTTTATATTTTGATACTTAGATTTTAGGTTAGTTTTAGTTTACTGATTACATTTTTTACAGGTAACTAGTCATTTTAATGGAATACATTTTTAAAGTAACCCTCCGAACCCTTGCACTTTAACATGCAAGCTCAGTCATGTCCTCAGTCTGGTTGTTCAGAGACCAAATTGGGGTTCCATACTTCACTGAAACCTCTCACTTGTGTGTGTGTGTGTGTGTGTGTGTGTGTGTGTGTGTGTCTGTGTGTGTGTGTGTGTGTGTGTGTGTGTGTGTGTGTGTGTGTGTGTGTGAGTGTGTGTGTGTGTGTGTGAGTGTGTGTGTGTGTGTGTGTGTCTGTTGTGTGTGTTGTGTGTGTGTGTGTGTGTGTGTGTGTGTGTGTGAGTGTGTGTGTGTGTGTGTGTTTGTGTGTGTTACCTTCAGTAGCTCTGGTGTTGATCAGGACTTTAGTCCTCTCCGACCTCTCTAAAGTCTCCTGAACGGCCTTCTGGGAGTTAAACTCCGCTTCCTGCAGGACAACAAACAGGTTACCATGGGAACTAAGTGATGACCTATGAATGACATACTGATAAACTGTGTGAACCTTCAGTGACTGAAGCTCCGCCTTCAGAGCAAGAGTGGTGTTCAGCGCCGGCCTCTCCAGATAACCTGGATCCTGATTGGATACCGTAGAAGGAGGCTTCACCCGTTGTCTTGGGGCTACACCTGCAAGGAGAAGAGTTAGAAATATTGATTGATCCTTTAATTTTTATCAGCGACCAAGGATCCAGTTTGCTGTTGAGAAATACATTTTATAAACTCTATCGTTGACAATAAAAGTCTGACTTCACAGTAAGAATCCCAACACTAATAGAGGTGCAAAGACTGAAAGTCGGTTCTAACATGAACTGCACACTAAAGGAGCCTAGCTAACTTAATTCTGAATATTTTGTTGAAATGTAAATGTTTTTAATAAAAAATGTCTCTGCTCTCTTTTCAGAGTTTTAAACAGATGAAAATATTCATTACTAATCATAATGCATCATAAGCGTGCAACGATGAGTCGACCCATCGCCTGAATTGACGCCTACTGGTCGCAGCCCTACTACATTCTGACTTCATCATGACATGTCTAACAACACATGATGTAAATCTACAGGGGTACTGCCCATATTTAGGAGATGAAAAGGAGGGGCAGGATCTAAAGAGACTATACATATTTCACTGCATAGTTGACTGGAGACATACTCAGGGTTTAACCTTTTCTTTTAATAAAAAAAAACTCCTGTGCATCAAACTGTGAACTCTGTCTTCAGTGCAGTTTGTAAACCATTGAAGACACCAAATGCCTTTTAACCGTACTGAAGATTAAAATGTTGGTGAGGAACAGTGTTAATTTTGGCAGCTATTTTTTATTTAGTCTTAGTCTTAGTTTTTAGACGAAAGTGGTTATTAGTTTTAGTCACATTTAGTCCTTTTTATCCTTCATAGTTTTAGTCTAGTTTTAGTCGACGAAAACTCAAAACGATGAGCCTTGTAGAGTGTCTCTATACTCCCTGAACACTCCGTCCCCGGCAGATCTCTGTGTCTGCTGCAGCGTGTCTGTTAGGCCCCGCCCCCCACACACAGAGAGACACAGGGAGATCTCTCTTCTGGAGTGAAGAGAGCGGAAATAATGATATTGCAAGTTAGAAACGTAAGATGCATTTTGACAGACAAGACGGACAATTGGGGGGAAATACCCTGCAATTTGAATGTCCGATAGTCCACCATTAACACCTTAGTCACGTCTCGTCAACGAAAACTAAATATACATTTCGTCACAGTTTTTATTATCAATAATCTATTTTTAGCTCGTCATCGTCTCGTCTTAGTCATGTAAAAAAGGTTGTTGACGAACATTTGTCGTCTTAGTTTTCGTTGACGAAATCAACACTGGTGAGGAAGTGCTTGTTAATTTACTGGCCCAAACATGGATTTGTATTCCTCCATTACATTACATTACATTGCATTTAGCTGACGCTTTTATCCAAAGCGACTTACAATAAGTGCGTTCGACCAACAAAATACAAACTTGAAGAAAACAGAATCATATAAGTACATCAGGTTTCATAGAGCCAAACATTTCAAGTGCTACTCAACTGGCTTTAGATAAGCCAGTCCTTTATTAGTATAAAAGTGCTTCATTAATAGTTCTATCGCTCGAAGTGGAGTCGAAAGAGATGAGTTTTCAGTTTGCGCCGGAAGATGTGCAAGCTATCTGCCGTCCTGATGTCAATGGGGAGCTCATTCCACCATCCTGGAGCCAGGACAGCAAACCCACGTGTTTTCGCCGATGGGAACTTGGGTCCCCCTCGCAGCGAGGGTGCAGCGAGTCGTTTGGCTGATGCAGAGCGTAGTGCACGCGCTGGGGTGTACGGTTTAACCATGTCCTGGATGTACGAAGGGCCAGATCCATTCGCAGCATGGTAAGCAAGTACCAGTGTCTTGAAGTGGATTCTAGCAGTTACCGGAAGCCAGTGAAGGGAGCGGAGGAGCGGAGTGGTGTGGGAAAATTTAGGAAGGTTGAAGACCAGACGAGCCGCTGCATTCTGGATGAGCTGCAGAGGTCGGATGGCACATGCAGGTAGACCAGCCAGGAGGGAGTTGCAGTAGTCTAGGCGTGAGATGACGAGAGCCTGGACCAGAACCTGAGTCGCTTTCTGTGTCAGCTGGGGACGTATCTTCCTGATGTTGTAAAGCGTGTATCTGCAGCAACGGGTTGTAGCAGCGATGTTTGCAGTGAAGGACAGGTTGTTATCTAGGATCACACCCAGATTCCTTGCAGTCTGAGTCGGGGAAACAACTGAGGTGCCGATGTTGATTGTTAGGTCAAGAGTGGGACAATCTTTTCCCGGAAGGAAGAGCAGCTCAGTCTTGTCAAGGTTGAGCTTGAGGTGATGAGCAGACATCCACTGAGAGATGTCAGCTAGACAAGCAGAGATGCGTGCGACGACCTGGGTCTCTGAGCGGGGAAAGGACAGAATTAATTGGGTGTCGTCAGCGTAGCAGTGGTAAGAAAAACCATGCGGGCTAATGACTGATCCGAGCGAGTTTGTGTACAGTGAGAAGAGGAGGGGACCAAGAACAGAGCCCTGAGGGACCCCTGTAGTTAATTGACAAGGGTCGGACTCAGACCCTCTCCAAGTCACCCTGTAGGTACGGTCTTTCAGGTATGAGGTGAGGAGGGAAAGTGCAGAGCCTGAAACTCCAAGTTTTTGGAGAGTGCGAAGGAGGATCTGATGATTCACCGTGTCGAATGCAGCAGACAGGTCCAATAGGATGATGACGGAGGAGAGGGATGCAGTTTTGGCAGTGTGCAGTTCCTCCGTGACAGCAATGAGAGCAGTTTCTGTGGAGTGACCTGCCTTGAAACCAGACTGGTGCGGATCCAGAAGGTTGTTCTGATTGAGATAACAGGAGAGTTGTTTAAAGACAGCGCGTTCAAGTGATTTAGACAGGAACGGGAGGAGAGAGACAGGCCTGTAGTTTATAACATCAGACGGATTGAGAGTGGGTTTCTTTAGGAGAGGGTTTACTCTTGCCTCCTTGAGACTGTTTGGAAAGTGACCAGAAGTTAGAGAAGTGTTGATGAAATGGGTGAGAAACGGTAGAATATCAGGAGCGATAGTCTGAAGGAGGTTTGAAGGGATAGGGTCCAGAGGACAGGTGGTAGGGCGGGCAGAGGTAATGAGGGTAAGAACCTCACTTGGAGAGAGAGGGGAAAAGGAGGTTAGTGTGTGGGTGGAAGGAGGGTCTGGTGACCCAGCGGTGAGTAAAGGTGAGTCAGAAAAAGAAGAGCGAATATCATCAACCTTTTTTTCAAAGTGGGTAACAAAGTCGCTTGACAGAAGTGAGGAGGGGGGAGGAGCTTTTGGAGGGTCCAAGAGGGCGGAGAAGATGGAAAATAGTTTTTTAGGATTAGAATAGGAAGATTGGATCTTATCTTGAAAGAAAGTGCTTTTTGCCTGAGAGATCGAAGCAGAGAAAGAGGAGAGGAGAGCTTGATAGGTTAGGAGGTCGTCACGGTGTTTGGATTTCCACCGTTTCCGCTCTGCTGCCCTAAGGACAGTTCTATTAGCACGCAGTGCATCATTTAGCCAGGGAGCAGGAGGGGACTGACGAGCCTGCCGAGATGTGAGAGGACAGAGCGAGTCCAGAGTGGATGAGAGAGTAGAGAGGAGAGTTTCTGCAGCAGAGTTTGGAGGCAGGAGTTGGAACGAGTCAGAGGAAGGGAGGGCTGAGAGCACCGATGAGGCAAAGGTAGAGGGGCAGAGGGAGCGAAGGTTACGGCGGACAAGTGCAGGATGAGAAGAGATTAGTTTGTTATGTTTGGAAAGGGGTAGAGAGAATGAAATGAATTAGTGATCGGATGTGTGGAGCGGGTTTACAGAGAGGTTAGAAGTAGCGCAGTTCCTTGAGAATATGAGATCAAGGACATTGCCAGCTTTATGAGTCGGTGGGGACGGAGACAGTGAGAAAGCAAAGGCGGTTAACAGAGATGTTAGTTCGTCTATCTTCCCTGTCTGGAGGTTGAAGTCTCCGAGAAGTACAGCAGGAGGGCCAGTTTCAGGGATGTGTGAGAGGAGATTATCTAATTCCTCCAAGAAGTCCCCCAAGGCGCCTGGTGGACGGTAGAGAACAACAATGGTTAACTGTATAGGATGGGTTACTGTGACGCATGGAATTCAAAGGTGGAAGGAGTGAAATTAGGTAGTTTGAAGAGGGAAAAGCTCCATTTGGGAGAGAGCAGGAGACCAGTGCCACCTCCTCTGCCAGTTGGTCTGGGTGTATGGGAGAAGGAATATGCAGTGGAGAGAGCTGCTGGGGTGGATGTGTTGGATGGAGTAATCCAGGTCTCAGTGAGAGCAAGGAAATCCAGAGACTGCAGGGAGGCGTAGCCAGACATGAAGTCAGCCTTAGGAACAGCTGACCTCCATCAAGATCTTAATTTCATCTCATCATTTTGAATAAATATATAACACCACCTGCTCTTTGGGGTGTTACTTCTTCTCACACAGAACCAAAACGTAAAGGATGGTTTTGACAGTTGTCTGTGAGGTGTGTTCAAATGCCTTTTGGACAAGAAGTGCTGTTTTTGAATATTTAGAGCTGGGCACCCTTTAGAGCAGGGGTGGCCAACCAGTCAGAGGTTAAGAGCCACATGTTTTCTATGTTACTGCAAAGAGCCACATCAAACACACAGTCACTGATATTGTTTCAGTTTTTAGTTTTCTGGAGACAAGATTTCAACCACGTCACTGATGCATTTTTGTGGCATTGGGATATTTTTTTTTTAAATCCTCTGGAGCAGAGAGAGGAGCTGTGGATTATTGTTATTGATTAATGCATCAGTGTTTCTTAGGGTCAAAAACACTAAACCCACAACTTAAGATGAAAGCGTTTAGTTTATTTAATAAAAGAGCACATGTTCAATGTGAAAAGTGACAGTAGTTATAGATTATTTGCAATTTGGTGCTATATATATATATATATATATATATATTTTTTTTTTTATTATATATATATATATAACACCTTGAATTTCATGTGGGGCGCGGGGCTCCGTTGGCGGGGCGCAGCGCCCCTCCAAGACAATGGTAGGGGAAACACTGGATAGTGTTTAATCAACGATAGGTTTCCCCCCCTCAAAGGTGATTGGTTCACTGCATTGCAGGTATTATTGTGATTGGCTCTTGGGCCACATCAAAATTAGACGCCTGTCATCCTCTCATACTGACACCTGACACCACACATACACACGTAGGGAGAGCCGGAGCGATTTTATCCGAGCCCAAACAACTTTGAGCGGCCAAATTACTTCAGAATTATCAGCATTCAATACTTAACAGACCTACTAAATATCAGGTTTAACTGTCAGGAGTAGTGTTGTCACGATACCAACATTTTGGTTTCGATACCAAGTCAAGAATTGCGATTCCGATTCTTTTTCTTAAAAAAAGGGAAACAGTCTTAAATGTAATTGTGCTTTATTTCACACCAGAACCATAACCATAACACAAACTTTTAAACAATGAGAACAATAAATAAAATAAAGGACAAGAATTCGTATTAAATCAAATTAATACATGTCTGACAGACAGGCCTCGTGGTGTCCGTAGGCTTGCCCTCACTGTCAGAGATATAGCTAAAATACATCAAAATGTCGCTTCTGGCGTCTTTTTTGTCAACAAGCCGAGGCGCAGCAGCAGCTGCACTCCCACTTGCAGCCATGCTTCTCGTTTTCTCACATGCTCTGGCAGCTAGCGCGTGGCCGCGTGCACGAGAGAGGGGAGGGACTTAGAGCGTGCTTGAGAGGGAGGGACTACAGGCACGGCTGCAGTGCAGGGAGTGAAAGCAGAGCGCTGAACACACACGGCTCTTATTAAAACAGCGCTTTCTCACCGGAGTACTTTCCCCCGTCACTCTTAAAGTACCGATACTAATGAAACGGAGGAATCGTAACGTTTTTAACGGCAGGGTATACCTTTCAAGTATCGGTACACCGTACAACACTAGTCAGGAGTCAGTGTCTCTCCCCCAAACTCACACATACAATTCGATATGAACTGAAGAGCCACATGAAACTAGGCAAAGAGCCGCATGCGGCTCGAGAGCCGCGGGTTGGCCACCCCTGCTTTAGAGAAATTACCCCTCAGAATTCCCTGTAAGTCTCTGGTTACCTTGGTGACATCCTCTGCTCCTTCTCTGACCTCTGATTGGCTGCTGAGGTGGGGCGTGCGTCTCCACTCTGCTCGTCAAAACACACAGAATGAGAGTGATGTTGTTTATAAAAAAAGAGCATTGTATTTTTATAAGAAATAACAAATTGATAAGTTTCAATGTATGCAACAAAAATCTATCCATATGTGGAATAAAAAAGGTAATGCCTCTTGTTTGTCAACGAGGAGGATAACGTAACAGATGATAGTGATGCGACGTGATCTAGCTAACACTAACGTTGGGAGTTAAAGAAAATGTAAGCTAGTCTAGCTAAACGTTTTATTAAATAATATAGCAAAGAAATTACTTTTACACATTCACTGTACATCTCGCTCTGAAAGTGAACTGCTCTGAATAACCGAACGTCTTCCAAAAGGGCTCTGTGATTAGGAACGGTCCAGTGTGCCAGAGTGCGCTCCTGTGCTCGTTGTGACTATTTACAAACACACTCAAGGACTACAGGATGATGTCATCAAATACACCCCAGGACTACAGGATGATGTCATCAAATACACCCCAGGACTACAGGATGATGTCATCACACACACATCAGGACTGCAGTCAGTGCTCCAGATAGCTCCACACCAAGCACCAACCTACAACTGCCTTGAGAAGAGCTTTGCCTTGCTGCTCCACTGGGCTCAGCTAGGAGCCGCTTTGTTTGGCCCACAAACTCTCTGAAGAATATAGTCAAATAAACGTTAGTCGGGTAAAAAAGTCTTGGTCGAGCAATTAGTAATTAGTCTATTAGACGAATAAACAAAAACCATCGGGGGGGGGGGGGGTGTGTGCTCATTAGGTACTTCTGTTGGTTAGGAAATCCAAAGTGTGGGATCACTAGGAGCGTGTAAAGGACTCCGAGAAGGTGACATGCAAACTCTGTAGGCAGAAATTCGCCTTCGCATTGGAGCACATCTTTGAGGGATTGATTGACACGGAGCAAGGATTCCTTTCTCGATATGAGAAAACCGGGATCGAAGGATAAAAGCAGCAGTGAGTGATAGTGAGCCAGGCAGTAGCCTAGCCTAATATTAATATAGTTGGACACAGAATATATAAATGTATACCAAAGAAAATGGGAACGTGAGACCAAAATGCATTTTTCTTGGCAGCGCAGTCCGGAGGGTTGTTTGTGGGTGCTTTGGAAATTACACATTTTCTTTCTAAATTATTTGTGGAGCTCAGTGCCTCCACAAAGTGCAATCATCTTTGAATGTTGCCCCCCAAATGTTAACTGGTTACCGTGGTGACATCCTCTGCTCCTCTTCTGACCTCTGATTGGCTGCTGTGGCGGGGGGTGCATCTATGCGTTGGTCTTCAAAACAGACCTGAAGACACAGCATTATGTCAACACACACACACCAGAACTACAGGATGAAGTTATCACACACGCACACACACACACATACCATGTATACATCACTTCAGGGGACATTACATTGACTTACATGCATTTCCTGGAGACTTATCCTAACCTTAACCATAACCAACACATGCCTAACCCTAACCCTTAACCTTACCCTAACCCCAAACCTAACCAAGTCTTCACCCTAAAACGATAGTTACGGCTGTAACTACGGTTCTATGAGTCCCGGATGACCGCCAGAGGCGGTGCTTTAAGCACTGGATATGTCCATCGCGCGCATGCGCAGCTCGAGTACCAATAACAACAAAGTCACCTGTGACCCACGTGACACCGGCTATATCAGCCGGTGTCGTCAGAGGATCTGTTCCCAGAATCTTCTCGCGAGCACACAAGAATTCTGAGTGACAGGAAACTCTGGCGGTCATCCGGGACTCATAGAACCGTAGTTACAGCCGTAACTATCGTTCTATTTCGTCCCTACTGACCTCCAGAGGCGGTGCTTTAAGCACTGGATGACTTATACCAACAATGTCATGAAGAATCCAATCCCTTGCTCACCACTGGAAACAGCGGAGCTCGGCAAAAGGACCGCGCCCAAAGAATGGGGTGTGGCGACATTGACCTGATGACAACTGGAGAATATGCCAGAAGACGCCTACGACACCGCGGCGCAGATGGTCTCCAGGGGCACCACCCTCAGGGCAGCCCAAGATGTTGAGATGCTCCTTGTAGAGTGGCATCTCAGCCCGATGGCAGGGGGCGGCCACTGGCCCCGTAAGCCTGTGAGATGGTATCGACAACCCAGTGGGGCAGCCACTGGTTAGAGGGCATAACCTCCTTTAGTGCCGCCAGGGCAAAATCAAGAGTTGCTCCTACTGCCGTATAAAGGCAGTAGCCTTGATATACGCCCTTTGGGCACCCCCAGGGCACAGCAACTTCGACGTGCCGTACTCCTGAATGTCAAAGCGTGCCAGCTGGGCAGGCTGATTGAAGTGGGTTTGTGGAAGGACCCCGGGCAGGAATGCCACATTTGCCCAAAGGGCAACGCCTGAGAGTCCCACCTCGGGCATGTATCGTTTATGGAGAGGACATGTAACTCCCCGACTCGCTTCCCTGAGGCTATGGCAAGCAGAAATGCTGCCTTCGTGGGCAGCCACCTAAGCCCCACCTGGGCCAGGGGCTCGAAGGGAGGAGATGATAGGGCATCCGGCAGCAGGGGCAGGTCCCGAGCCGGAGCCCTCGGGGTGCTAGGGGGACGCTGCCGTAAAGCCCCTCTCATAAAGAGGGACACCGACCTGTGGCACCCCACCGTGGCGCCGTCGACCCGAACATGTCGGGCAGAAATAGCAGCCACATAAATTCAGAGTGGAGTGAGAACGTCCACTATCTAGAAGGGACTGTTGTCTGTTGCTAAGGTCGCTAAGACCTCTGCAGACCACCCCTGTAATCCGGCGGCTGAGTGCGGCTGCTAGAGCGGCCCCTGGGCCTGCTGGGAGTGGGCACAGGTCTGCGAAGACCCGAGAGCTGCTGCCTGGTCTGCCTAGCTTGGGCAGCACGCTCCAGTGCCTCCAGGGCAGCTGACCCAAACAGCTCCCCTGGCTCGACTGGTACGCTACGGAGGACTCTCCTACATACCTCCGTTAGTGGTGACTGGGCCAGCCAAACCTGGCGACGAGTCTGTACCAGCGACAAGGCGTCCTCCTACAGAGATGCGTCAACCGAAGGAGGTGTGTCAGCCGAAGGAGGTGCGCCAACCGAAGGGGGGGGGGGTGCAGGCGGCCCGCTAGCAGCCCCTACACTGGGCCCAGCTGAAGGGCCAGGAGGCGACTTCATCATGCCCCTATCGGCAGCTAGCCGATCCACTTTAGAGGACAGCCTGTTTCTAGTCCTTCTATTGGGGGGAGCACCCATAGCCATCGCTCCCCCAAGTCGCCGGGAACGGCCAAATTGATCTGGAGGAGGATGTGACAAGGAGAGGTGTCTGTTGGCTGCTGCCAGACGTTCCACCTCAGTGATTCTAGCCACTCTGAGCGCCCGAGGCATGCAGCTACAGCTCATGCAGGCGTTTACCGTGAGAACCTCCCTCAGATGCTCAAATTTCGTCCCCACTGACCGCCAGAGGCGGCTGAGGCAGGAGGGGCAGCGGTCGTGGCCGTCCTCGGGCTCAAGAGAAGCCATACAGGCGCTACATGAATGAGCCATTCTGTAGGTAGCCAGATGCAGCGTAGCCGGGAGCGGGGAGCGTTGCTGCTACTCGCCGAACAGAAAGAGGGATGTAATTACAACCCACGTTACCGGCAGAGGGAGCGGGAGCGAGAGCACTGCCTTCACCTGGCTGGATTAATAAACACGGCAGTTCAGCGTCTACCAGGAGCGGGGGGCGAGAACACTGCCTTCACTGGTTGAGTTAGAGACGAATGCCAGATGCAGCGTAACCGGGAGCGGGTGCGGGAACACAGCCTTCACCAGCTACCTGCTTAACGGAAAAACAAGGCAGTTCCGCGTCTACCAGGAGCAGGGGCGAAAACACTGCCTTCACTGGTTGAGTTAGAGACGAATGCCAGATGCAGCATAACCGGGAGCGGGTGCGGGAACACAGCCTTCACCGGCTACCTGATTAACGGAAAAACGAGGCAGTTCATCGTCTACCAGGAGCGGGGAGCGAGAACATTGCCTTCACTGGTTGAGTTAGAGACGAATGCCAGATGCAGCGTAACCGGGAGCGGGAACACAGCCTTCACCAGCTACCTGCTGAACGGGAAGAGTAGAGCGGTGCTGCTACTCGCCGAACAGACAAAGGGATGTAGCTACATCCGCATTACCGGCAGAGGGAGCGGGAGCGAGAGCACTGCCTTCACCTAGCTGGGTAAAATAAAGAAGCTTAACAGAACACGCAAGACGTTAGCCGGGCGGCTGCTGCTAACGATCAAGCGAGATCAAGTCAAATAACACACATGTTTAAGACCAGATAACTAGCTTCTAAAGAAGAGAACAGCACAGAGCCGTAGTTACAGCAGTAACCATGGCCAGTGCTCACACGGCATAACCGTAGTTACAGTAGTAACTATGGCCAGTACTTACACGGCTTAGAACCGTAGTTACAGTCGTAACTATGGCCATAACTTACACAGCATAGAGCCGTAGTTACAGTAGTAACTCTGGCCAGTACTTGCACGGCTTGGAACCGTAGTTACAGTAGTAACTATGGCCAGTACTTACATGGCTTAGAACCGTAGTTACAGTAGTAACTATGGCCAGTACTTACACAGCATAGAGCCGTAGTTACGGTATTGACTATGGCCAGTACTTACACGGCTTGGAACCGTAGTTACAGTAGTAACTATGGCCAGTACTTACGGCTCAGGACCGTAGTTACAGTAGTAACTATGGCCAGTACTTACGGCTTAGAACCTTAGTTACAGTAGTAACTATGGCCAGTACTTACACCGCCTAGAGCCGTAGTTACGGTATTGACTATGGCCCGTACTTACGCGGCTTGGAACCGTAGTTACAGTAGTAACTGTGGCTGGTGCCTAAAAGTGTCAGCCAAACGGCTGCACACTAGATAATATAATATTGGGAGGATGAAATCCTCTTTAATGGCCACACATGCAGAGCACACAGCACACACAGTGAAGATTGTTCTCTGCATATCGTCCTAGTGCTAGGAGTCTAGTACTAGGAGCAGTAAATACAACGATATAGCGCTACTGCAACCATACCATGCGTTTACCGGGAGCGAGAGCACTGCCCTCACCGGCTGAGTTAAACAATGAAGCTTAACAGTACATGCAAGGTGTTAGCCAAGCGGCTGCTGCTAACAATCAAGCAACCAAGTCAGAACACAATGTTAAGACCAGATAATTAGCTTCTAAGAAAGAGAAGAGCCCGCATAGAACCGTAGGCCATGGTTACAGTAGTAACCGCACATGCAGAGCACACAGCACCCGCAGTGAAGATGTTCTCTGCATATCATCCTAGTGCTAGGAGTCTAGTACTAGGAGCAGACAGTACTACAACGATATAGCGCTACTGCAATCAAACCCTATGTTACCGGGAGCGGGAGCACTGCCCTCACCGGCTGAGTTAAATAATTAAGCTTAACAGCAAGGTGTTAGCCAAGCGGCTGCTGCTAACAATCAAGCGACCAAGTCAGAACACAAAGATTAAGACCAGATAATTAGCTTCTATGAAATAGAAAGTACTTACCTTACTCTCTGCATCTAAACGAAAAACGGGTTTAAAATATGACACTCTGGGCTTTCCATACTAAACTGAATGAGGGACGCAGCCAAAGCTGGGACTCAAATGCTAATGATAGCTCGGGCACAACGCCACAAGCAGAACTTTCAAAAGAGCATAAGGGCAACTTTATGGGAGAGGAAGCGGGAACACTGTCGTCACCAGAAAGTCTAAGCCAAACAAAAAATAAGACGGCAATCAGGACAACTTTGCTGGGAGAGGGTGCGGGACACAGCCATCATCAGCAACAAGCTGACACAAACCTGTCTGTGGAGGCTCTGCACAGCCGGCCACAGCTCCTGGAGGACGCGTTAACGACCCGTAGCTCCGACTGTCAGTCGCGAAGCTGCACGCGGCCAGCTGCTTGCAGAGAAATCCCTCAGATCAAACGTTCAAACCTGAACGCTGTAGGCTACAAAAATGTAGCCACGGTACCCTAGAAGATGAAAGGAACAGATCCTCTGACGACACCGGCTGATATAGCCGGTGTCACGTGGGTCACAGGTGACTTTATTGTTATTGGTACTCGAGCTGCGCATGCGCGCAATGGACATATCCAGTGCTTAAAGCACCGCCTCTGGCGGTCAGTAGGGACGAAATAGAACTAATGATTCCCCTCATGGGGACCTCCAATTTGTCCCCATAAGGGAGGCGAGTCCCCACACGTGACTGTGTAAACAGATTTAGGTACCCACAAGTATAGTAATGCTAGGCCACACACACCCACCCACCCACCACACACACACACACACACACACACACACACACACACACACACACACAACACACACACACACACACACACACACACACACACACACACACACACACACACACACACACACACCACACACACACACACACACACACACACACACACCACACACACACACACACACACACACACACACACACACACACCCACACACACCACACACACACCACACACACACACACACACACACACACACACACACACACACACACACACACACACACACACACACACACACCACACACACACACACACACACACACACACACACACACACCACACACACACACACACCACACACACACACACACACACACACACACACACACACACACACACACACACACACACACACACACACACACCTGTATGTTGCCCTTTCTTCCTGCTTGTTTTTTGAGGGATTTGTCACTTTGCTGACTCGGCCTCCGGTGTGTGTGGCTGGTCTTTGGGGCGGGGCTGAGTGTGACGGACAGGTCGAGCTCAGGGCAGCGAGTCAGAGGGAAGGAGTAGGGGAGGGGTTGGGGGAGAGGGAGGGGGGAGGAGGGAGTAGAGTTGGAGGAACTCATCCTGACAGGAAACATGAAGCGAGACATTGGTTTTCATTGAAATGCTTCTTTAAAAAACATGTTTGTGATGTTAACTCTCACAACTTCATAAATACATTTACAAATACATTTGGTCACGGACAAAATAGGACATCATAAGACTGCAAGACACACTCCAAACATTGTATTGTATTTTCTTGGTATATAAAATGACATATTGTATTACAGAGTCTCTAGTATCTGAGATTGTAAGTGCTGTGCTATACTATATATATATATATATATACACGCTGTATTTTATTAGCTAAGCTGCTTAGCTACTTAGCTAATAAAAGTAACTCATCATATATTAGTTGATGTATATTTTTTGTGGGGGATTTTAGCCTTTGCAGACCATTTACATGCACCAAAAAACGATATATACACACACTAAAAAGGAGAGGGAAAACCGAAAGAAGCATAAAAGGCCTCTTTCAATAGGGGCAGTTGAGTAAATAGCACTTGAATAAATGTAGCTACTATCTAAGTACATTTACTCAAATAAAAAATTAGAGGTACTTAAAGGTGACCTATCATGCTATATTTGAACAATATATTGTAGGGCCATACCTATATAAAGTATATAAATATAGTTTTTTTTTCAAAATACCAGAAGAGGGGGAGGAAAAGAGAGACTCCGTCCTCCGTGTTTTATTCTTATTTATGATTATACAGAGTCATTATTCATTTGTTTTAAAGCTCAATAAATAACAAAGAAGACCTTTGACCGGCACTTTTCTAATTTTGTCCGGAAGATTTAAACTTTAACGGACATGTTGACCGGCGAAAAAAAATCGAACTGAAACTCTGCCGCACGGTCCCCTCGTTCCTTGGAAGAGGCGGAGAGGTGGGTGTTTGTCATCTGCTGGTGGACTAACCGGAGAGAATTACAGTGCTTGCCTCGACGGGGAGGGATTGCATTGAATTACAGGAGCAAACCAAGCCCCCAGGAAGTGCGCCGGACTCTGATGAGGATATTCGTTGTGGCCAAACGGCGGTACTACACTTTCTTTAGGTTGCTGGGCCCGGAAACACTTTTTCCCATTGACTAACATTGGGAAAGAGTGGTCTGTAAATCATTGGATAATTTTGTTGCCTCTTTTGAATGACAAATACACACTACCGTCGCCTGCTGGTAAGGAGAGTTATTGCCACTCACGCATGCGCAGTTCGTACGTGCTCGGCTGAAGTCTTTGCGGTGTGTTCCAGTGCGACACATGGCCAAGACGCAGGAGAACACAGCGACGCAACAGTTGGCGTCGCCGTCGGCGAATTCTCTGGTGACTGCTTGGTGTGTCAGGGCCTTAACCCACGGGACCGCGCCGCCCGGCACATTCATGTTACGTGTTCTGACTGTAACAGTTTGGAGGATTTAGCAGCCTGGTATATTACAGTTTTAGCGGCATATATATATATATATATATATACATATATATATATATATATATATATATACATATGGTTGGTATTTAACAACAAGGGGTGTTATAGTCTGTGTTGTAGTGTGTGATATTGGTATTTATGGCAACATTTTACACCTTTCCTTAAAGTATTATACGTTTTTGTTACTTGTGGGGTACTTAACATGAATAGTCACAGTTACTATCCTTTTACTCCATCACATTTCAAAGATAAATAGGCTATTGTTATTTTAACTCCAGATAAGATTTAACTCACAATTGATCATAACAGGCTTCAAATACATACATATTTATACCAAGTGGTTTCATGTACAACCCACACTAAATGTTGCTCTGTTGCTTGGATATCACTAGATCCTGTTATCAGCGTAATATAAAAGTACATAACGATTGATGTGTAACTTAGCATAATTACTAGCTAGCCGCTAGCTGCTAACTGCCGCGGCCGCCTCGTTAATATCAAATCCATCATAAGAAATCCAGTACCATGCTGTCATGAACGTCATGAACGTGCTGTTACGTGTACGCAAATTGACGTGCTTAATGTGAACGAGCCTTTTGGGGGCGTGGTTAAAGTTGCGCATGCTCTATGTGCGCACATACGGGTACTTCTCAGGCATGACGGGTAATCTGTGATGTTTCGCTCTCTCAAAAGTTGGCCCATTTTATTATCATGCGCCAATGAGCAACTCTCATAGGAATTAATGAGGCGCCGCCTCCCACGCTGTATCCAGTTCTTATTATACATCCATGGAGCAAACGCTTGCCTCGGGGAGGGAGAAAAAGAGCCACAGCGGAGAATAAACAGAAGGGCAACCATGGCAACCATGCGCGGGAAGTCTTCTTCGCTGCTTTTGTGGCAGACTACAGCGCCACTTACAGGCCTGGCATATGTACTACAGCGTCTCCAGCGCTTTCGAGCGGCAATGGCTGGCGGTGGCCCAACCCCACATTCCCCTGATAGGTGGAGAGTTGGCCATATAGGCGGAGCACCACTTCTGTGACGTAGAGAATAATTCAAATCTGGATCAGTCTGTATCAGATCCGTTACAGCCCCTTTTTTTTTTTAGATTTGGGTATAGAGGAAAAGAGAGAGGGTTGTGTTTTCTGACACTTGGTGAGTTCCCTGGAACACCGGGGACTAGGGATGGGTATCGTTTGAAATGTATCGATTCCGATTCCGGTTCTGCTTATCGATTCCGGTTCTTATCGATTCCCCGTTTCTATTCCAAAATTGTAAAAGAAAGAGGTCAAACGTTTAGATAACAAAAATATCTTTATTCTTTTAAGCTTTAACTGAAATTGTTACAAATAAAAAATATACATGCAATACAAATGTATTGCACAATAGCTGTGCTTTATTTTAACTGAGCTATGCCTGTGGCAAGCTATTAACAGGCATTACACTGTGCCTTGTCTTTTTCTTTTTTAGTGTAGTGGAGCATCACTTCAGAGCGTTTACCGCGACCCATCTTTGAACTGTCTACGGGAGGGCGGGGGGAGCCTCGCTGCGGGGCAACTGTGGACCTCTGTCGCCTGTCAGCGCAACTTACATGATGCCGTTTAAAAAATGTAAGAGCGGTGCCGGCCGTCAACGTACCGAGCCGGCCGTCAATGGCCGTCAACGTACCGAGCCGGCCGTCAACGGCCCGCTGACGACCGGCCGTTCTGTGATTCTCCAGGTCCGCCCTGTATTCCACCGCGGTGCAGACGGACCCGCTGGAATACAGGGTCTACCGCGTTTAGGAACCGTAAAGCAGAACCAAAATTGTGTATTTTGTATGGGTACCCGGTACCCAACATTTTCTTATCGGTTCTCATCTGGAACCGAGTTTCGGTTCCCAACCCTAGTTATAAACATCAAAGATGTAGTTATGATACTGCATACTAGGGCTGTACCGCATATTCGACTATTCGTTCGTTGGCCAACTATTCGGGTTTCAATTTCATTATTCGGATATTCGTTTTTTTATTTTTGTTCAAAAAAATATTTTTTTTCCCCTAAATGTATGCTATCAATAAAGGCGAATTGCCATATTCTTATACTATATTTATACTTTTGAATTGCACTGTTAAACTGCGGAAATATATACAATCTCAGCCTGTGCTCCTGACATCGCGTTCACTCACAGTCACGAACGCAAACGGCACGCTTCACCTCGCTTCACACACCTGAACACAAAATGCCGAAGACTTCAGCTGTGTGGGACCATTTTAAATTGGACGACGGTAAGAAGGTGTGCCAAGGTGTGCCTTGGTGTGCACACCTTGGTGTGCAAGGTGTGCCAAATATGTGACAAGAAACTGGCCTACCACGGTGGCACAACAACTCTGAAAAGTCACCAGATGCTGTAAGTACTAGCCTAGCTTAGCTTAGCTGTTGTCAAGTTGCCATGAAGCTGCTTTATCCGCCGTTTAAACAGTAACGTTACACATGATAAAATCGTGCACTTACTTTGCTTGGAAAATAGTTGCAAGCAATCAACCGAATTGTTTTTTTATATTAGTTTTTCAATTTAATCCGAATAGTGAAAATAATAGGAGCAATGTGGGAACATCTGGGGCTAAGGCAATTATTGGCATACAGTTTAAACATTTATTTTTTGTTCTTCATTTATTTAAATACTGTTTACTGTATCGGTAACAAGTGTTACACTGTTAGGCCTACTGTTACGGCTATGTTATTAAAAGTATTGTTGTTATAACAGAAATATGTGTTTTGTATCTTCAGGTTGTAAAACGTTATAGACGGAATTTGGAACCAGATTTGGTCCCCGGGCGCTGCGCTGCGGCTGGGTTAAATGCAGAGGACACATTTAGTTTTAATGTATGCGAGTACTGAGACAATAAATAAATATAAATCGTAATAGTATGCTCTTTCTGCTTAACAGCGTGTTGTCAGGTGTCTCGGAGCGTGTTATGAAAAAATGTTTAAAAAAAAATAATTATTAAGAAAAATAAAAAATCTCTCTGCACCGAATATTCGCTGTTGATTACTACCGAATATCCGGAGCCCGAAAAATGGTATTCGGGACAGCCCTACTGCATACTTATCATTATAATCATGAACTTTTTTTTTTCAACATGTCTTGTTGTCTTCTGTATCATAGGGTGGTGTAGTGGGGATTTTTTTTACTGGGGGGATGCTATTTTAATTAGGTCATCCCAAACAATGCCACGCAAGTGCGCAAGCGCACAGTGCACTCACAAAACGGGCAGACAGGTCCACATCATCATCATCAGCTTTATTTAAAGAGACTCTTGGTCCATTATTAAAAGACATACAACACTCAAATATAAATAAAAAAAGGCAGTTATACAGTTTAGCTTCTAACCAGGAGTGCAACAAGCAGTAAAGTGAAAAGTAATGTACACAATTTACAGAATAAAATATAGAATGAATTGAATGATGAATAAACAGTGAGGAGTATGAATACACTAGATATCAGCCTGTGAGCAGTATGAACAGTGTGTATGAATATGCTAAGATATATAAATTATGAAAACGGTAATCAGTGCAAGTATGGTATAACATAGATATTAATTTCATGATGATAAACAT